TTATTTCATCAGTATTTCGTTAGTAATTAGTCACAAAAAAATTCCGTCAATAAAAATTCATTGATAATACGCAAGGATTTATACATTATGATAATGATAATAAAATTAAATACAATAATAATGAAATTAAATATTATTGTATTAAAATTAAAATTAATAATGAAAATATGTGTTTGAATACTAATATAACAATGACAATGAAATTGAAGATAACAATCAATTATCGCCTAAAGACAATTTATTATCATAATTAAAAAAATCTTTTATTTTTAATTTTACACAAACAATCAATTATTCTAAATAGGACAGTTAACAGCTAGATCCTTCTTTCTCTTCTTTAGCTGGAGACTAGAGTGCAATGGGTGTTTTGATCCCATCTACACCGCAGGGTCCAAAGATCGTAGGGCCAAATCCAGTGAAATAGAATCCAAATCATCTTTAGTTTCAATGATTATAGAATAAATTTTGAAGCAATCAAATATTGATGACCTCAAATATCAAAACAAAAAAAAAAAAGTTAGCGATTTAGTGACAACCCAAAGTCATTAGCTTAGCTCAATAGATGTGATTTAAGGATATTTGGGTTAATTAAATAATTAATTAATAAACATGGGCTTTGGATAAAAATCCAAACCGGAAACGTTTTTTATAAGGCCCAAAGTTTTGGGGCTGCTCACAAATTGAATAATAGGCAACATTTTATTATTAGAAATTAGAAACCGTTGTCAAGAGGCATGAAGCAATGGCTGTACGAAGTGGATATAGTAAGATGATGAGCCGGTTTTAACTATGGTCTATGAGCATGAAGGTAGGGCGAAAGTAGACGGTAATCAGTGTTAGAAATCCACTAGAAATTATTTTACAATTAAAGTTATTAAGATTTAAAATTTGATTACTTTAATTAAAAATTTACCAGTTCATTAATAAATCATGCGACTGGTTGATTTATTATTATTATTATTATTGCACCTATAAATATTAATATGAAAGATGTAAAAAGAATTTTAAAAATCACAGTCAATTTACCGTTCAATTATCTTTACTTTATCTTTGATCAGCGCTTTCTTTACAACTTTACTTCTTTTAGCACTATTAGCGTGGAACTTAATTTTAACTTGTCATAAAAAATTAATTCTAATTTATTGTTTAGTACAAAATATGTGTGTGTCTATATATATATATATATTAACATTTGTTTTTGAACTAACGGGGAATTTAAATGTAAACAAGTAAACAACGGAATAAATCTTTAATTTTATTACTCATTAGTGCTAGTTTATTTTAAGGTTATGAAAGATTAAATTTTAAATTTATATATAAATTTTATACATTTCTAACATATCTCAAATCTGTAAAATATTTTTCTTAAAATAGTTGCCATATCTTACGAGCTAAGTCCAACAACTAATATTGTACCATTTAAATCATACAATACTTTATATGTATAGTATGTATACTGATTCATAATAAAAATTGATATTTATTTATATGAAAAATCAATTTTAACATGAATTAATAGCTAATTTTTTAATATATAAATGAATCGTTGTGTATAATAATAATAATAATAATAATAATAATACAATTCCATACGTTTATGATAAATTTGGATAAATTAAATTAAAATTGAATCAAATTCTATTATTTAAAAATACAATTTTAATTTTTGATAAAAATTCTCATAAAAATATTCTCCTAAAATTTTAAACTTAAATGATATAAAATTTATATTATTAATTTCTCTCTTATTTTTTCTGAGGCATTTGAAAATTTTAAGTTGTGCAAAAACATGAAAATTTTTTTTAAGAACTTCATTTTCTTGCATATTTAAAAACAAATTGGATGCATTGAATATCAAAATTTATCAAAATTTTTTTTTAAATATTATGCATTGAAAAAAATATTATTTATGCATAAAATAAATATATGTGTATACGAACACTACTACAAAATTTATTGTACATTAATAAGTATGTGTAAATAAAACATTAGGAAAAAAATATTTTCAAAAATGAAGTTTTTAAAATTTATAAGTGAGATTAATAAAATGACATATATTTATTATGATATGTTTAAAAAATAAAATATATAATAATTTTTTAATTCTGTTCATGAAATTAAAAAATTATAATGAAAATTTATTAAATATTAAAAATTTTTAAGAAAATATTAACTTTTTTTAAAATTAATTTTTATATCATATAATTTTTTTTTTTTTAAATCGATATCCGACAATCAATTCCATTGTCACCGCCAACTCAATCAACAACGGTCCGTACAAACAGTTTGACATGATATGGGGTGATGTACAGCTGTGATCGTAGGTCCTACGTTCCCAATTAGGCAAAGACAAACCCCACATTTTCTCCATCGTCATATCCATCAACCAAAAATCATGCAGCATTTTTTCTTTAGCTTTAATCATTCATAATCAGTGCCAGGTCAGATCTTCTTGTTTGCCACATCAGCCTGCACTTTTGCCATTTTTTTTTAAATTTGGCTTCATGGCTCAGCTAGGCTTCAAATTTGGCCTCATTTTACTGTTAGAAAAATAACAATAAAATCATTAATTTGGAAGAAGTCCTCAGGTCTGCAATCGTATGGGGTAAGTTATCAGATCTGACGTCATAGTTTGACCGCAGAGTGGTTGTTGAACGGGAATGGACGGTTTTGATTGTCGTTCACGGACCTGCTGATGGGAACAACAATTCTTCTCTTTTTTGCTTCCGTCACCGGCCTGACTGAGGGGGTAATTAAAAAAAACTTTTCAAAATGGTTTGGACCGTTGGAATAAGTATAAAATTTATTAAATTTTGAAACGCATATTCTCGTCAAATCTTGAGACCGAATCTTTGGTCTTTTTGTAACTTCTGTACATACATCCAAAAATCTATTAATATTTTTTAAATTATCTTTTTATATGATTTATTTTTTAATTTATTTTTATGATATAAAAATAAAAATTGGAGATGTGACAAAAGTTAGTATAAAATTAAACAGTACATTGCATTTGGTATAATATCTTATTTTCATTCACAGCCTTAAAAACTTACTTACATTTTAAAAATATTTAAAATTCAAATGATAGAATTCATCGTACCAATACCACATAAATATTCATGTGATAAAAAATTGATTTATTTGATTTTTGGATTGAAATTCATGTCCAATAATGTTCAAATAGTATTGATGTGACATGTTTTTGAATTTGTAAAGATGATTGATGGAATAGATGAATTTAAAATATTTTTAAAATTATAAATTCAAAAATTAAATTTTAAAGATTATGGATTAAAATAAAACATTGTGAAAAGATTATTGATTATCAACGTATTATTTTTTTTTTTGACCTTTGAATAACTTAATTGAGGATGGTAAAATTAGAGGGGTTGAGGTGAATTTTCATTTCTTTCTCTTTTTAACAAATTTCACTTATTTTCATTTTTTATTTTAATTTTTAAACTTTTTTAGCTTTTGGGTTTTTTTATTTTTCAATTTTTTTATTCCAAATTTTAAAAAATTAAAATAAAAAATAATACGTATTTTTGAACATGTAATCCATTTGATTAATTCCCTTTTCAAAAATTCCATTTAAGCAAAAATAATATCTTAAAAAGCCACATCATTGACATGTCAGCAAAATCCTTCTCATCAACCATTTATCATTACCATGTTAACAAAGTCGATTATTGACTCAACAAAAATACGAAAGTTCAGGGACTAGAGAGGTTTGTACAATTCCAGCGTGGTAATTCAAATAATTAATATTCCATTTGTTGTACAATTCCAGCATTCCACCTAAAAAGAAGTGCTGTACAATTTTTATTTTTTTTTTCTGCAATTCTAGTACAAAAATTTATAGTAAACACTTTCCACGAGATAGAAAGTGACCCTTCAATTCAAACCAAGGCAAGAACCAACCAAATCTAAATCTAAGCTTCTTCAGTTCTTTGTGTCTTGCTACAAAAGCAAGAAAAAGAACTGTCTTGAATTTCATGACATCGACTTTATAACTTGGTTGATTAGTTGGGAGGATAAAAAAAAAAGGTGAAGATGAAAAATTTGTAAGACTAATAAAATTTTCATCTTCATATCTTTTCATTCTTCTACCAAACAAAATTAAAATTATTTTTTTAAGCATATATGATACGATACACTTGCAAACAAAAGAAACCCTCTTAACAACAATATTTTTAATCATGTATCCTTATTAGAAAACCGTTATATCCTAGCAATGGTCTAGCTCCTTTTCATTAGTTTGCAATATATTTTCTTCAACTATCATTAGAGTTGGGAAAACTAATCCATACTAAAAACCTCATGTTAATCCACTCAAATTTCAATTAATTCGATTTTATAAAGAAAATTCAACATCTTCAATCCATCCAATAAACTCGAAATTAAAATAATTTGAACTTAAAATAATTTAAACTCAATGATTTCAAATAATTCAAAATTAAATTGATTTAATTTTAAAAAAAAATTTTAACAAAAAAATTATAACCTAAATAATGTGATCATTCTAACTCAAAAGATTCGAATTTGAGATCACATTAATATAAAATAACTCAAATATAAAATTATCTGAAAATTTTAATTTGAAATTATCTGACCAAATTGACCCAACTCAAACCCTAATTACCTTGTTTATTGATTATTCATAGGTATTAAGATCTGCAATTGCAAATACATTTGGATTCATTAATATATATATATGTATATATGAATTATGAATGAATTCTCACGTACGGTGATGATAATATATTTGACAAATAATAGAAGCATGGAGAAGGCCAGCGGCATCCAACGTCACAACCATACTATGAAAGCAATGGCTCAGCCATTTAAATGGAGAGAGCAACAAGCCAATAGTTCTTAGCCAGGGGCAGTGGATGCAGAGGGGGCCATCTGGAGAATCCCACCACATGGTTCGTCAAAAGACAAAATGCAAGCACTCAATAGTCAACACGCGTCGTTTGATCAGTTTCTGCGCCCTCGTATATCCATCCTCGATAAATGGTTTGACATTTTTCAACGTTTGATTGGTTCTCAATTTAGGTATACGCTCTATTACACGAGAGGGAGAGAAAAAATTGAAGTGAGGAAAAGTTGCGGTAGACTCGGATCCTGTCTCCCAAGAAAAAGGTTCAAACAAGTCCTGTTATCTCGTACAAACATTTTGACTCTTTTTCTCTCCCTTTCTCTTTCTATTCAGTAATTTTTTTCCACTCTAAGAAAACCTAACGGAAATGGGTGATCAGTACGGCTTTCCTGATCTTCTGCGGTTTCCAGCCAGGAGAACCGATTTTCCGGCAACCGTGCCACAACCCTCTGAACCATACTTTGCTCATAGAAACATGGCTCCATTAGCTCCATACCACGAAGCCTTCATGGTGAGCAATGGGATGGCGATGCCTAACGGTTTGGTTAGGTTTGACAATGATCACTTCCCAGGTGCTTCTGCCTCCAGTGCTATTACTGCTTCAGCTTCTGGTCCTTGCGCATCACTGTTTGGAGTTGAGATGGAGAATGGTGGATGGAGTCTGGGAATCATCGATAGTGGAAACAGTCGGTGGCCGAGGCAAGAGACTCTTACTCTGCTTGAGATCAGATCTAGACTTGATTCCAAGTTCAAGGAGGCCAATCAGAAAGGACCCTTGTGGGATGAGGTGTCTAGGTATAGATATTTGATCAAACTGTATTTACTGTAATACATTGCACTAAACTCACTGGAGGTTTTATATGTTCTTCTTTTATTATTATTATTATTATTATTATTACTTGGATTTCCATTTTTACTTTTTTTTTGGTTCCAAATTCGTGATATGTTTAATTAAGGTACCCTCTTTTTCTTTGCATAGTACAAACAGTTTGTCTTTCCATTTATATGAAAAGTAAAAAGGTTTTCAATCAAATGATGTTTTGTTTTAGCTGGGCATTCTTTCTGAATGAAAGCAACAGGGCTGTGAGTTAACTCAGAGATGCAACTCAGAGATGCAGGTGTTATTTTTCTTAAAAAAAAAACTCTTTCATAATTAAATTAGATTGTCTTGCTTTTGCAATTGGTTGATCCCTGGTATATATTCCTTTACTGGATTCCTAAGATAAACTGACTTCATTTCAGCAAACTCTTACCAACCAATCTTAATTTCATTTTGTATTACATGGAAAACCCTCTTGCTCAATCAGGGTAATAGGTCATCTACCTTTTTAACATAAAGACAGGATATTTAAACCTGCAGCATGTTTGAACTTATAAATTTAATTATAGTTAGTATTTGATACACATAATCTTTTAATTTTTTAAGTGGAATTAAAAAATTACACATGTTTATTTTTTTAATTAGTAATTTTTTAATTTTCTAATATACTTTAACTGTCATCCTATTAATCTTGTGTGTAGAGTTTAAAGACAAAATTATAGTGGATGGAATAATTTCTGTCCATATATAAGAATGTTTTGAACATTGAATCCTTATTATTTTAAAAACTATTACTTACCAAAGAAAGTGAAGACATAATAACATCGATCCATAAGCTACTGTTAGAGGAATATATTAATTATTTAATAATTATTGTTTTGTCTTCTTTCTTTTATGAGTTCGTGTTGGAGGCTAAAGGGAAACTTTATCCTGAAACTAGGGTTAGTTTTACCCCCTTTTTTTTTTTTTTTGATTTCTTGATATTCTACATAACTTGATTTATAGAATAATGGCGGAGGAACATGGGTACCAGAGAAGTGGGAAGAAATGTAGAGAGAAGTTTGAGAATCTGTGCAAATACTACAAGAAAACTAAGGAAGGTAAATCAGGAAGACAAGATGGGAAAAATTACAGGTTCTTTCGACAACTCGAAGCCCTCTACGGTGAAACAAACAATCAAAGTTCAGTCTCAGAAACTAGTCTGGCCCAAAGGACTCTCCTTTCCCGGACTTCAAACAACGCAATGAACCAAGAAAATCATCAAGAATCCATGCAGAAACAGAAACTAAGTGAGAGCCTTTGTTTCTCCAATGCATCTGAATTTGATACTTCATCGTCCGAAAACAATGATGACGGCCTTTCAGCCATTGCTTTTATGATGAAACAGTCTACGGAGAATAAGAAGAGTGGAAGCAGTTCGAGGGTTAAGAAGGGATGGAAGACGAAGGTGAAGGACTTTGTGGAGTCACAGATGAAGAAATTAATCGAATCACAAGATGTTTTGATGGAAAGAATGTTGAAGACCATTGAAGATAAAGAGCAAGAGAGAATGTCGAAAGAGGAAGAATGGAGGAGACAAGAGACTGCTCGGTTTGATAAGGAACATGAATTCTGGGTCAAGAAGAGAGCTTGGTTTGAAGCTCGCGATGCTGCATTAATGGAGGTTCTGAAGAAGTTTACAGGGAAAGGACTAGAAGTTTCATTCTCAACAGAAGCGCCTGTGACCAAAAACCAGGATGAAATGAGCACAAACAGATGGAGTGAACATGAAATCTCAAGCTTGATACGGTTTAGGACAAGCTTGGAACCAAGATTCCAGGAAACTACTGGGTATTCAAAGCATAGGCTATGGGAAGAAATAGAAGCAAAAATGGTGAGTTTGGGTTATGAACGTGAAGCAGTTGAGTGTAAAGAGAAGTGGGACAATATGCAGATGTACTTTGACATGACTAATGCAGAGCGTTACAAGAAACGCAAGGAAGATTTCATGAGCAGCAATTATTTTCTGCAGCTTGATTCCTTTGATGTTAAACCAAGGATAAATCAGGCCATGGACTCATCAGCTTCAAATTCTTATGACATCATCAATTCATTTGATATTGCTGTAAACCAAGGAGATCAGCGCTTCTGGGACAGGTATGGATTTAAGCTGAGTAAGGGAAAGAATCAGCAAATTTAGTTGTCTTTTTTTTTTTTTTTTAATAGATTGTAGTAGTAAGTAATAGAAGTACAACCTCTGAAAGAGCTTGTAACTATTGGTGACGGGGGATTTTTACTTGTTTTATTTGTGTAAGAAAACACTAACTATTAAGGATTAATTTTACTATGAAATTAACTAATTAGTATTTAAATATGAGGAAAAACTTGATTAATCCAAGGGTTTAATTCATTTACATAAGACAAAATGAAAGAGGAAAGACGGACCGTTTATATTTATATATCATCTATCCTTGGGTCGAAAGGTTTCTGTTTTTTTTTTTTTTTTTTCTAATTTTATTTTGAGCAATTGTTTTTCCTGCAGCCACCAGATTTCTTTTGACCAGAGTTCCACTGTTGTTTTCATGAAGACACATGGAGTATTTAATTTTAACCCCTTTAAGTAATTTACTTCAATGGCTATTCCTTATTGGAAGTTAACATCCAGATCTCCTTTTTTTTTTTTTTTTTTTCTTTTAAGAAATTATCTGAATAAGTAAAAAATTAGAATAATTCTCGACATATCTGCTATACTATTACATACGGAACAAGGTAAACCAAAACAAAAACTAAATAAAAGCTTCTAAACAAAATTAATTGATCAACATAAAATTAAATTAAACTCACGTATGATAAGACTTCAATTTGACAAGAACACATGGCCTCTCTTTTTCTTTTTAAATCTTTTTCGGTTTTCATAATAAACTTTTTATCTACATACAAAAAATTAAAAATATATATAGAAGGTGATATAATTACAGTAATAACAGTATAACAACTAATAAGTAACAATTACTAATTTGTATATTAATTCTTACATAAATGGCTTGTTCTCTTTATCTTTTAATTGTTTGTGAATGAGCAAAAACAACATCAAATTCAACAAAGTGTCTACCATTTTTTATGCAGTGTTCGTTTAATTATGTAAGTTGAATTGGGTTATGGATAATTGATTTGCTTGCCAATGGAACCTGCTTGAAATCTGCTAGTGGCCTGCAAAACCCAATTTCAAGTTGCTTAAATTTTAAACATAGGAGAAATTTCCTATATTAAAAGCAGTACTTGAATCACTCTAGTAGATCACTCCCTCTCGTTGCTATATATATATATATATATATATATATATATATATATATATATATGATAGAGTTTATATTTGATAAATTATTAATATGTAAATTTTATTCATTATCAATAAATTGAATAATGATATTTTATTAATAAAATGTATCTACTTTATTAATTAATAAATTTTTTAAACAATATTAATTTTTTATTTTTATTTTAAAAATTAATATTTATTAATTAATAAAATAATATCATTGATTCAATATATAAAATTATTTTATTGATAATATATTAAATATAAACTCTATATAATAATAGCGATCGGTGAAAGCCACCGGGCAGCTTTAATTCTACGATGATAGCTTGCTGAATACTAAAAAAAGGCAGGGCAAGGCAATTCTGCCAAATCCAGTATGTACAGCTTTGTGTTTCTTTTCTTTTCTTTGCTCTTTTTTTTCTTTATCCCAGCAAAGAATAGATACGTCATCACATTTCACATTCACACGTAACGTGTGCTTAACCCATTTTCAAGGGCTAGTCCAACAAGACAACTTCTATGGCAAAAGAAAGGGATGTATGAATCAGTTATATTATGTTAATCTATTTATTTAAATCATATCATATAATTATTATTAAAAAATAATTATTTATTAAAAAATAATTAATAAATGTATTGAAATAAGTTTTCACTATTTAATGTGTAATAAATAATTAATTTTTTATAACACGATTATATGACTTAATTTAAATATAAGTGAAATATGCGGATGTCGTATAACCGTTTCATTTAATTCTTTCTTTTGTAATAAAAACTCGAGTTTGAAACTAGTTGTTTCATCCATTCTGTTCTGGCACATTTGATTTACAATATAAAATAGAAGGTCATGGAAATGATACTAAGTAAGAATAGAAAATAAAAGGAATAGAATAAAATATTTATTATAAAGTTTGGTTCATTAAAATGAAATAGAGGAAGAATTAGTATTAATATGTTTGGTTAGTTCAAAGAATATGGATGAAATTAGTTTAAAAAATCATTTTATCTTTTTAATTTATTATCAAAATTATTAATTAAAAAATAAATAAAATATTAATAATAATTTATTATAATAATTAAATATTATTAATTAATATTATATATTAATATATTAATTAATATTAATTTAATAAATTGAATATTAATTTAATTGAATTATATAATAATTTAATTTAATTAAATATTAGTTTAATTATATTAAATATTAATTAATAATATTTTATCTTAATTTAATAATATTCTATATTCACTTAAAAATATTCAATTTTAATTTAATAATATTCAATATCAAATTAATATTATTAAATATTAATTTAATAATATTAACTATAATTTAATAATATAAAAATTATTGAACAATATTAAATATTAATTTAGTAATATAAATATTCAATTTACTAATATTAAATATTAATTATAATATTTTATGTTAATAATAATTTAATATTATTTTTCATAATATTTTAATATTATGTATTAAATATTAATTTTGTTAATATTTAATATTGAATATTAATTAAACATTTTTATTATTTTAATATAAATTTTAATATAATAATATTTTAATATTATAAATTTATAATATTTTAATATTAACTATGAAATATTTAAATTTAAAAATTTAATATTATTTAAATGATATTTCCATTCTAAATATTATATTAATAGTAATTTAATATTTTAATATTATTTGAATAATATTTTAAGAATATTTTAAACTAAATATTAATTTAGTAATATTTTAATATTTAATATTACTTTAATATTATTTTAGTATTTAACATATTTTAAGAATATTTGAATATTAGATATTATTTTATTAGTATTTTATTATTTTAATATTAATTTAATGGTATTTTAATATTATTTAAAAACATATCATTTTATTTATTAATATTATTTAAATATTCAATATTAGTTTAATATTTTTTGAAAATTTAATATTAAGTTAATATTTTTTGAAAATTTAATATTAAGTTAATAATATTTAAATATTAAATATTATTTTAATAATATTTATTATATTATATAATAATATTTTATTTAAAAATATTGTAATAATATTTAATTAGTGTATATAATGTTTAATATAATTTAATTAATTAGTAATTATAATTTAATTAATATTAATTAATTATCTAATTAAATATGTAAGAACAAAATTGGAATTAATTAAATATATAAGAGAAAATTATCCATAAAGAGATGTTTGGTTTGCGGATTTTTAATTTTCAGGAGAAAATGATTTAGGAGGAAAAGTTGTATTGAAGAGAAATGTGTAATTCTTGAGTTTTTGTTGAGTTAAAAAATGTAAGATTTTTGTGTTTGGTTAAGAGGAATGTAAAATTACATAATAAAATCTTTTACTATATTATCTTTGATTACACATAAATAACATGTGAGACATGAATAACAAGGCTTCATTGAAACTGAATAATTTTAAAAAATAATTTTTTATATTTTCAACAAATATAATCTTACAATTTAATTATTATCATAACATTGATTGGCCTTACGTAAAAAAGATACGTGAGTCAACCTTAAATAAATGTATTTTAGATTTTATATGTAATAATATTAAGAAAACATATTTTACTTTTTATTTTTTTCATATTTTCAACAAAAGTTGTTTTTTTTTTAAATTTTAGAAAAGTCATATTTTTAATGAAAATAGTTTTTATCTTAAAAACATCATTTTTATTGAATTCTGAAATTTTTTTTATGTTTTCAACAAAAACTGCATTTTATCTTAGAAACATCATCTTTATTGAATTCTAAAAACTATTTTTTTATATTTTCAACAAAAACTACATTTTTTATATTAGAAATGTCATCTTTGTTGAATTATAGAAAATAGTTTTTTCATGTTTTTAACAAAAACTTTATTTTTATCTTAAAAACGTCTTTTAAATTCCGTGGATTCTTAAGTTTTAAATATAAAGTCAAGATCACTTTCTTCCTAAATTACTTTTCCTTCCTTAATTACTACGTTTCCATGTTAAAAAACATTGTTGATATTGAAAATATAAAATTTATTTTCTTATTCTTTTCTACAATCAATTATATTTTATATGTTAAAAATGTAGTGCTTCTGAAACTATAAAAAATTCAAAATTAAAAATTTTCAACAATTTACTACAATTTTCTTTTAAAAATGTTGATTTTATTATAATTAATTTTTTTTAACATATTATAACATATGACTACATTTTTAACATAACAACGATGTGTAAATGAAAATTTTCAAATTTATTTCAATTTGATTTTATACAAGATTAACTACGCTTATAATTATGAAACTTTATTTTTTTTTGAAACTTTATAAGTTAAAAATAAATATTTAAATTTATAAAAATTCAAATAAACATGATCACTGCTAGTTGTCCAATTAAGTGGGTTGAAATACAACTTTGTATGTCAGAATGAGTTTTGATTTATCATGTAATCACGTTAATTTTTAAAGGTAAAATAAAAGGTAAAAAATTATTTTTAAGAGCAAAAGTAAGATAAATTTTATATTTTGCCAGGAATCTTAAGAAACCTTATAGAGAGGAAGGCTTCTGATTTAAGGCTATTAACTTTCTTTTTTGACACTATTAGGAATCTTTAAAAATATCAGGAATTAGATTCATTAACCAAACTAACGAATCAAATTACTAATAGCAAATTCTTGCAAGTAATCTCATTTTCTCCCTAACTAAACGTCCTTTAAATATTATTCTCAATTCCTAAAGGACAAGAATTGAAATTTTTAAAGGAGAGTAAATAGTTGCCATTCCTTATTTTCAAAGAATTGATATTATATGAAATAATTATTCTTTGCTAAATAATTGAACTAAACAACAAAATCGAAAGGTCACAAGAAAAATGGGGAAAATGGAATTATAATTCCTTCAAACCAAACATGCTGTTAGTCCAATCCCATATCTAAGGATCAATTAGGGTCAAACTTCAAAG